AACATTGTACCAACAGGAAAATAGATTCCTTCCTTGGAAGTGTGTGTGTGTGTGTGTGTGTGTGTGTGTGTGTGTGTGTGCGTGGGTGTGTGTAAATGCAGAGCTGTAGCACGGAGATGATGGTCTGTGCCGTGGTTCCTGGAGGGCCAGTCCAAGACACCACAGCAGTCCAAATCCAGAGTTCCCACAGGAATTCCAAAAAAGAGACTCATGCTGGTGGCGGACTGAAGATCAGGGAGGTGTGGTGTAGAGAGGAAACACTGTCTATACTAAAGCCTGATAATTTGATTGAATGCTTACTTATTAAATATCCTCCTTTTCACTAATAGAAGTTGGGTGTGAACAAAGTATTTTTAAATAAAAGTTACAATTGGTCCAAGAAAGAGCATTTAATGTAGTTTTGGAGAGGTAGCATAGGCTAATTTTTTCCTGTATATTGATCCCTTGGGTAATGGATATTAACAAAAGAACTCAAAAAAATAATCTGCAAACATCATAATGTTTGCCATCTGTGAATACAGTGTTAAATTGACTGAGAGAAACACATTTTATTTTTTTTTTAAAAAAGCTTTCAATGTTTGTGAGATATTCTGAATGAGACAATTTCTCCCTGTACGTTTTTTTGTGTGTGTGACAAGTTCTCACTATGTAGTTCAGGCTGGCTTTGAACTGTCAGTGTTACCCCGCGGTAGTGCAATCCTTCTATCTCAGCCTCCTGAGTCCTGGATTACAGGCATGCACCACCATGTCTGGCTTTCCCTGTGTTTCTATGGAGAGGAAAACAGGAATGTAAAATGTCAATAAAGGCACAGTTACTAGATAAGTGGAAAAGCTGAGTGTCTAGAGTAAAGATGTGTTTCTTGCATGAATTACTTCCTAACAATCTGCTGAAGGAGTGATTTTGTATCAGACTGAAACCCCAAACCAGCCTCGTTTTAATTTGCCAAGCACCTGTGAAGGAATACAGCTGCAAGGCCATGGGAAAACAATAGGAACTGTGACAGTTCATTAATATAAACCAGCAACTAGATTTATTTGGAAAAGTCATTGATATAGAATTACCCTGGAGGATGGAATGGCATTCTTAAAGTCGGCCAGCCAGCAGCTAACTAAGATTATAGATGTGTGCACATCATTTGAAACTGAACAGTAATTTGGTAACTATTACGATTTATTGTGTATGTCAAACAGAATAACAAGTGTGTAGAGAGCCGTGATTGCTTTAGGAAAGTTAAGTTTGTGTTGTATTCAATTGTTTGGCTTTTTGTATGCGAGGTTATTTTGTTCAGGGAAATCAAGATAACAGCAATTGCCCCTAAAGTGATTATTCACATGTATATAGCCATAGAAGGAAACTGTGAAAGTACAGGTTCTTGTCTAACAACTTTGAGCCTTTACATAATGCTGATAAAAAGCTAAAGAAGTTGTTTACTGCAATCAAATCATCACAGTCTTGTGTCAGTGTCGACCAGAAATATTTGAGGCATGGTAACTCATAAGCAAGCCAGCTCGCTTAAAGTGAAAGGTATCAACAGCTCCAGAGGCTGAGAAATGGATCTGCTAACCACTCACTTTTATTGCAAACAGTAAAATGTAACCCTAGAAAATGGGAGGAAAGTACAACTCTTTGTTCATATGCTGAAAGCATCTGGCAAAACCTCAGTGTCTGGCACAAGTGCAATAATCCTGTTCATGGAACTTGTTCCTAGCCATAAGACAGGCGACTTTACCAATGATGGGTGAGCAGACTGAAGCGAATGCCGTCAGCTTTCTAATGTTCCTTCTTTAAATGAAAAGGGGAACTCAACAATCCTTCAGCTAATTTTCTTAGCTGGTTTCCTTAATCTTTTTATCACCAGTAGGTACAATCCCTGGTACTGTTGTAATCATTGAAAACCAATTGACCTGAACAACTGATCGTAAAGAGTTAAATTTTATAGCAACCACTGAGGACTTGCTGAGTGCTGTAGTGGTGAGTAGGAGACTTATCTCCAGGACACCATAACGATATACTACCAGCCTGTGGGGCCAAGATCACTTTCAGGCCTCCTGTAAAGGTGGTGGTGGAATGCTGGGGTGGGAAACAGGTGGAGGGGGCTGGGCACCCAGGTGTCTATGAATAACCCATTGCCCAGAGGGAATTGGCTTGTGATCAAAACATGGCCCTAGCCTTTTAACATATAGTCTTCTCTTTTTAAGATGGTAAGTGGTTTTTTTTTTTTTAATGCTGAAAAAATAGAAATCATCTTATATCCCAGAAGAATCTGATTTGAAACAGAAAAGTCTGGGATTTGTGTTGGAGATAGGAGGGGTCAATGAAGAGACTGCTTGAGGGTATGATCTAAGGCATGATTCATGTAAAATCTCAGGAATTGAAAACACATTGAATTATCTGTACTACAAGGTCCTTAATTTTAGCATCACTTTCAGGTGCCTTTCAAGCCCTCTGATTCCAAAAGACTTTCTGTGTGCTCAGAGTTGCACACACATTATGTGATGGCAGAACATTCTCGTTTTGATAAATACTCCAGTGGTACTGGTTAAAAACACAACCTGCCAAAGAAATGGCAGGATTTTGTTTGTTTAGCTAGCTTTCATAGCATAATTGAAAAGCATTCAGAAAATAAGAAGCAATTATAAAATTCCCCAGGTTGCCTTGCAACAGTAGTGCTAAGCCACTTCAAACCACGGCAAACCACATAAGTAATGAGAGATGCGGACCTCCAGCAAGGACGGCAGCCACCACATCATCTCTTGACCTTCAAAGCATTCTGATGTGGTTTCCCTGCTCCCATTAACTGGGTCACTGTGCTTTTGTGTGGGGCAAACCCTGTACCTGCGTTAGGTACAAGACAAGTCCCAGACTGCAAATTCCTGATAACAGTTGTTGTTGAGGAAACAAAACAAAACAAAACAAAACACCATAAAACAAAAATCATAGGTCTAGATCTGGTGACCTAGGAACCATGTTTTACATACGAACATGTTCTACTGAGATTTTGCCTCTAAGTGAATTGGCAACATTTCAAAGTTGGGAGTTTCACATAAAGTTGGGTTTCCAGTGTCTTGTGAACAGTTAGAAGATGCACTGGCTGGGCCAACTATCCTGAGTTACAACTCTCAGTTTAGGAGAGCAGTGCGTTTTGGGAGAGCCATGGGCTTTTGTCAATCTTTTCAGTAACTATTGACATTTACTTCATTCTGAGTACAGCTATTTACATTTGATACTGGGATATAACCAGTGTGATTCATTCCAAACCTCACATCTCCAAAGATGGCACAGTTAGTTATATATAACTTGTACGATTCAGTGTGACAAGCAGAGCATAGATCTTTTGTTTTATATAATATTAAGAATTTTAAGATAGCAACACGGACTACCAAGTGAAGTATGGGCCACTGTAATCGTGAAGTTGTTTTTTCAAGGGAGAAAAAGCAATTATGTTAAATCCATTTTGTTTGCTTGTAGCAAGTTTTGAAAATTAGATTTTATCAAAAAGATAAATTCCTACCTGGGCATGGTGATACATGAAAGGATTTTGCCCCATTTGGGACACTGTAGCTGGTGAAGAGCTGGGAGGCAGAACCAGGGGGCTCTGTCTTCCCCACTCCTAGGAATTTACCTGTGGCGTGAGATGAATACCAATGGGCTACCTGTGCATCCCTAATGCCCCTTAGGCACCACCCCAAACCTAAGCTACATGTATGCCCCCATTCCACGTGTCTGGTGGAGAGATTACCAGACCCCAGAGAGAATGCCAGCCCCCGGAGACAATGCCAGACCCCAGAAGGTCGGGGGATCTCTCCCCGAATTCTTAAAATAAAGGTCATTTATATTTCATACTTCTTATCTTTTCAGCCACGCCAGAATTCTATCATATAGTTCCCTGACTGGGAATCCAATTCTATGAATAAATACCTGTAATCCTAACGACTCAGGAGGCTGAGACAGGAGGATTGCAAGTTGGAGTCCAGGCTGGACAATTTAGTGAGACCTTTTCTTAAAAGTAAAAATAAAAAGGGATGGGGATGTAGCTCTGTGGGATAGCAGTTGCTTAGCATGAGTCAGAGTGAGGTCCTGGCTTCAGTCCCCAGCACTGAGACAGGAAGGCAGGATGTGGCTAAGACTGGCTGGGAAAGAAAAGGTGGCATGTTAATCCCAGGACACATGCGCAGAACAGTTCTCCAGGCCCTGAACATGGACTTCTGGAGAACTGATTGATTTGTAATAGGACGATCTGGTAACCAGTGGGGAAACACAAAAAGAGAAGCTGCCTCTGTTTGCTATCCTGTCTCTTTGGGATAGCTTGCCATACATATGCTGTAAGGTGTGTGTGTTTTTTTTCCTTTTGTACTTTTTGGCTAAAACTCCTTCCACATAACCTGTTTCTTCCTACGTTTAATAAATGTGAAACTTGGGCTGGAGGTTTAGCTTAGCTTAGCTGCTTAGCACGAGCGAGCTTGTGAGTTTGATCCCTGGTTCCAATAAATAAATAAACACACAAACAAATAAATAAATAAATAAATGTGAAACTTTGCCACTGTTTATGCTTGTTTTAATCAATTCTATGTTTGGGATAGAAAGAACCTAGAAATCACCTCTAGAAGGAGACTTGGCACCCCAAAGCCTGGTAATAGTACCACATCAAAAACAGGATAAGTTAAATTTTTAAAAGTTGTAAGGCAAGACACATATGGTAAAAATTTTGGATACAAAACATACAGAATAACAACCTAAAACCTTCCTCTGTTCCTTCTCAGAACTTCACTTGCTTACTTGGAGTATCCCAGTTGCTTTTTCTTCTAATTCTTCTAGAATTTTTAAACATATACTCATTGGACACAAATGAGACATAATATATTTAACACCAGGATTGTTTAAACAGATAATTTTAATCTAACGCACTATGCAATTATCAATACATGGGAACCACCTTATTCTTTTGAACCCCTGAAATCTTTCTCTGTCCTCTCTTCCCACATCACCCTGCCAGAATTACTGTAACTGTCCTTTCTCCACGTCCTCATAGAACATCGGTGGTGGCTCTATCCAGCTGAAAGCATAGCTGATCCTGCCCTGCCACTGGTCCATTGTACAAGGCCAGCATCCTGTCTGTAATCCTCCACCTAAGGACAGCTCCTACATGGTAATGCAATATGGCATTTTTCTAGACCAAAGAGGGCTTTCTGCTTTTAGAGAGTCTGCCTGACTAACATCCTGTGGGCTTTTCCACTTCTCTTTCTCTTGGGAGCTCCCTGTGCCCTGACCTTTGGTGGCTCTGAACAGCCTCTGCTGAGATAAGCATGAGCAAATACAGTAGCAGGTCAGCCCGAATGTCACTGGCTTTCCTAACCCTCCCAGCAAGAGGAGTCATTGTAAGCCCACCTGGGGTTTCCAGCAGTTTATCTGTGTCACCCATATCTCCTCAAAGTATAGGCAAACAAAACCACAGAGCTTTATCAGGAGTTGTAATTCCTTACATCTGCCTTATCACTGGTGATTACCCAGACTACCAGACTTTTCAGGGGTCTGTGAGAGGGATAACAAGATTGTCAGGAGGAGTGGCCTTATCACCCTGGGGAAGCTCTGGAAGGGTTGGCGGAGGCTTTAATTTCCACCCTGGTATTTTTCCTGATATGCTTTCAACTTTGCTAAGATGCCTCATCTCTTACAACATGGCTTAATTGTCCTTTGGAAACTTGTCTCAAATTTCTAAGTCCAATGTAAGTATACAGTCATAGAATTATTAGTGTTTCCCACTTCAGAATGATTTTCTTTCCTTTTCATGCTATCCTGCAAAAAGATACTAGTATCATTTTTATAAGTGGAGCTCTGCCCAGGAAAATGGTTCCTCCAGTCGTTCCATTTTTAACTGTCAGAGCACAGATGGGAGACATGTCTACTGTGGACTCCCAAGTCCAATGTCAATTTTTGTGTTAGTAAAAGGCAGTACTAAGCAAGGGTTAGATTCTGGGTCCTGGAACCTGGCTGTCTGGTTTGGAATCCTGACTGTTATTCACCAGCTATGTGACCTTAGGCAATCTGCTTAACTTCCCTGTGCTTTAGTTGCTCATCTGTAAAACTGGATTAATAACACTTACCTCATGTGTTTGAGAGAAAACAAAACCCATACATATACAAACATACTTGGGTCAATGGCCACATTATTAGTGATAGCTGTTACCGATTTTACATTCATTATAACTGTTGCCTCCTTGAACAAAAGTAAAGGACACTTGAAGCAATTACTCAGATGACTCAAAACAGTAAACACAAGATAAAATGAAGACAAGCTACAAGATGTCAAAGCTTGTTTGTTTGTCTTGCTGTTTGTCTTTTCTTCTATCCTTCCTTTTGTTTTGCAAATATACTAATTTTCCTTTATGCTGTGGTATGTGCTTTTTCCTTGACTTCCTTTGCTAGACTTCTCATTACATTGGAAAAAATGTAGCACACAAAAGTTAATTACTTATTTACTCATGGACTTTTCTTCTCCATATATCCTTCCTTTGCATGCCCATGCACACAAACACAGACACACCTACACATGTTGACACACATGCACTTCTACATAAATACACACACACACAACTCATGTTTTGTTGGTATCTGAGTACAGGCTGTACCATGCCCATGAAGGTGCTCTTTCTTTCTTTCTTTCTTTCTTTCTTTCTTTCTTTCTTTCTTTCTTTCTTTCTTTCTTTCTTTCTTTCTTTCTCTCTCTCTCTCTCTCCCCCTTTCTTTGTTTCTTTTTTCTCCCTCTGTCTCCCCTTCCTTTCCTCCCCTCCTTCCTTCCATTCATCCTTTTTTCCTGCCTCCCTCCCTTTCACTTCTTTCTCTCACTTTTTTTGGTGCTAGGAATCAATCCCTCTCTTGTTATTACAGGTGTAAAGCTTGCTTTCACGCAGTTAAATACTTGTCTCCCCCACAAACTCCTACACTCTGAGGGCCGGGAGCCATCATAAAAATCACCTGGTCCAACCACTTATACTGTGTGAATTGCCTCTTACAATGTGTTGGCTATATGAAAAACTGGCCTATATATTAATATTTCCAATAACAAGAGGCTTGCTAGCTGCCAAGAATATCAGCTCCATCTTGTTCAGATATATGGTCAAAGATGATGCTGATGCTAAATTTTCTAGGCTGGCAGGGAACACACATTTTAGTCAAGTTCTGAAGCCATTTGTGATAGGGAAAGCCATTTTCTACATGTCTGGTAAAGGGTAAATGTCACTATACTACACAAGGAATTTTCTTACAAATTATAAGAATATGATAAACATCCCAAATGGGAAGAGTGAAAAGAGACATAAATAATTTATAAAAGAAGAACCGTTGAGCACTGAAATTTATGTGTAAGATAGTCATGACAATAGCAATCAAACAGATGCCAATAAAAGAAACAACAGCAAATCCTTTGTTAGAGTTCAGATTGGTGAAGATTTAAAACAAAACAAAATGATGATAATTAGTGTAAAACTCATGATGATGAAGACATGAATGGGAAAACAAAAACCAGTCTCCATTACAGCAAGTAATGACATCAACTGATTTACAAAAGACATTTCTACAAGATAAATTAGGAATATGGAGCAACACTAAACAGGTATAGTGACACCAAATATTTCACTTTTGGCAATTTATCTAGAAATTTTTTTTTGGGTTGAAGGAGTATGCAAGCATATGCATATAGATATATATACATGTAAGTGTACATAACCATGTAGTTTTCATTCCAAATCGTTTAGAATCATATAAATCATTAAGCAATTATGTAGAAGTATGCAAAATATATTGGAAATCATTTGGAAGAATGACTTACTTATGTATCCATCAATAAGGAAAAATATCCAAGATATAATTTTGGGTAAAATGTCACAGCATGAGTAGTATGATCTCATTTTTATAAATTTTATATGTGTAAATATATCTTGAACTCAAACTCAAATGTGAAATTTAAGCACTTATATAAATGTGTTTATATAAATATATATCAACTCACATAGGTATAACTTTTTAAAAAAATGATGTAATTCACATATCAGAAAATTAAAGTGTCCAAATCTATAGTTTTTAGTACACTACGACTCATGGATCTATCACTATTTTCACATTTTAGAACCTTTTCTAAACAACCCCAAATGAAACCCTATACCTGCTAGCAGAGATTCCCCATCCCTCTCATTCCAGTCCCTGGCAACCACATGTCCTGCCCTTCCCTTCCCTTCCCTTCCTTTCCCTTCCCTCCCCTCCCCTCCCATCCCTCCTCTCCCCCCCTCCCCTCCCCTATTCCCAGCAATGAGCGAGGGCTCCAATTCTTCCACATCACCTCTGACTGTATGATGGTGTACCTTTTTGTGTACAGATGTCCTAATGAGTGTGAAATTATTATAGATGATTTTGTAATACACAAATCCAACTCCAAGTCTCTTTTCCCATGCACTGGGATGAGATTTAAACTTTGTAAGTCTTGGAGGTTCCTCTTTCACAGAATATGTCAAGATACAATCAGGGAGTTCAAGATGAATACCAACAGAAAAGACCTCTAATGAAATGTTAAAATAATCTAGAGAAAAAAGCCCAAGGTCTCTTAAAATTTCAGATTAAAGTGTTTTAAGTTAATTTGCTCAGTGATCATTGCAATTGCTGAACTTAGTGATTTCCTCCAAATATGTGCATTTTGGGTATTTATAACAAATTATATCCAGTGGGATCATTTTAACAGATTTTGAAGATTCTGTAAGATTCATTTGATGGCTTTCATTCTTTCTTCAGAGCAGTAATTTTAAGGCATAATCTATATATGGACTGCTGATGCTTATGGGGTGGTTTAATTTTCTTATGCAATATTTAAATTAAAATTAAAAATGTTTCTTTAATAGGTGCCAATTTTCTGTACTTCAAATATATATCCATTCAGCTCACATTGACTTCTTTCTGATCTTTTAAAAGCTGTTTTCTGCTTTGCCAGCTTTTTATAATTTTAAAAATTTCTTTTGCCAATTTTTCAAATAATATATGCCATTTCCTCTTTAGTTTATTTTTACTTTTACTTATCATTTAGCAATTTTTGGTTTTAAACCAATTTATTTTTAATTCTTTTAAAAACAATTCCACAGTTATATTTTGTACAAATTTACAGTATTAATCATATGAATAATTATACTAATCCTGTAAACGGCTTTGATTCCTGTGAACATTTTTACCTTTCTATCTCATGTCATTTTATAAATGCTTAGTGAATCAGTATAGTATATAACAACTGATCCTTATCAGAAACCATTATTAGTACCTCATAGAATTCAAGAATTTTACAAGGTTAATAGGCAAAGTTCATTGTAAATCATAGGATTTGCAATTTCTGTTTTGAAGTCTTAAGTTTAACTTGGTTATTTTGGATTTAGTTGAAGTTCAGTGCGACTATTTTACCAAGTGCTTTTGCATTTGATTTTTTAGACAGGTTAGCGGAAAGTCCATTTTATGAGTAATTTATATGTTAGATGTTGAGCATCTCTCAAAGGCTCAAAATACTTGCACAATTAGTCTCAAGCAGAATTAGTAGCCGTAAACCTCACAAACACAAAAAGAAATATAGCACAAATTATTTTGTACAGTAACTTACTTGACTGCTGGATCATTAGAAATTTATGACTGGAGTTCAACTCAGTGACAGAGCACTTGTCTGGCATGTGTGAGGCCCTTGGTTCATTCCCAGCATCAATCATATACCTTCCCTGCAACCTACTTCATGATTAGGTCCCCATGATATAGAGTGTGACACTTTTGGAACAGGACCTGTAATTGTATATATAGCACCGTCCCAATCTTTACATTGATGTTGCCCGACTATGCTTACTTGAGTATGACCTATTAATCTGTTATGATCTGAATAAGAGGCATGTTATTCTTAGATAACAGCCTCTGTGGAAACAAGTTTCAATTGGTGACTAATCCAAGACAATTACAAAAATAAATCAATAAAAATGTACATCTTTTCATTTCAGAAAATTGGCTTTCCTTTAGAGTTGACTTTTATCATGCATCTTCTGGTAAAGATAGAATCTGGGATTTGATTAGAGCTAAAATTT